TCAGTAGGCGCAGTCGGCCCATCAGCGTCCAGCACCGGCTTGAGGCCCCAGCTCTCGGGAGTGAACGAAGAGTCGCGGGCCAACAAGGTGGCGTGAATCTCCATCTGCGCCTCGCGGAAGCCGAGGCGGTAATCTCGCTCGCCCAGGTCGAGGAGGAAATCATCGCCCTCCGGGGTCGCCAGCCACTCCTTGGCCACCTCTCTCCTTCGAGCTGCCACCGCCGCCTGCACGTCCGCCTCGAAGGCCGCCGACTTCTTATAATCTGCGACGGAAGTCGCGGCGATCGTGGCCACTTTGCCCTTCTCCTCCTCCCATTGACGGGTGACCCTCAGCAGCTCGGCGTTGTGCACCTCCACCATCTTGAGTTGCTTCGCCTGCTCTTCCAGAAGAGCTTCCTCTGTCTGGCGCTGCTTGGCGGTCATGGCCCGCATATCGTTCCTAAAGCCCTGGAACCGATTGCCCAGTTCCATCTGGAGGGCGAGGTCCTGCACACCCAGCCGTCAATCGAACAGAAAAGAAAAAAAAAAAAAGAGAGTAAACAGAGGGAAAGGCCGAATGAGTAACACTTACGCGATATGACTGCCGGAGCAAAGCCTCGATGATGAACCCGTCGCCAAGAGCACGGGTCGACTCCACATCCTTTGGCAAAAGGACATCCTTGCACCACTTGCGAACGGAGGTGTTGCCCATCCAGATTTGGGCGTCCTCGTCCACCTCGTGGCACAGCCTGATCCTCTTTGGAGCCGGCCCCTCCGTAGGCTCAGCAGGCCGCTTAGAACTCGGACTCTCAGTAGAGGGAGGAGGCGGCTGCCGACTGGGCGATACCACGGGCGAAGGTGTGAGGTCGACCACGTTGTGGGAAGGTGGAGGAGTCGGCCGGACCGCCGGCGATGGCTGAGAAGAGGACGCAGTGGCCGTACCCGTGGAGCGTTGCGTCAGGCGACGCCTCATCTTTTCCGCTCTATTGGCCATCTCAGGAGTCGGTGCGATAGCTTCGCCGGAGCAGGAGGTATCGGAGTCGTACGGACCTGTAAAAGAAATACACTCACTCGTGAGTGTTCCCGTAGAAAACAAAAAGCAAGACGAGAAAGAAGAGGAAAGAGACGCTACCTATGGTGGCGGCGCCCTCCGGCAGAAGGCCATGCTTGGCCATGGCCCGGACTCGAGACCAGTACTTAACGGAGTACGGCCCGAAGCCCTTCAAGAAGTCACCGCCCATGACAGCATCCTCCGTAAAGACGGCGCGCCGAGAGCAGGGCTTGAAGAGAGTCGCCGGCCAGAGGGTCGGAAAGGTGAAGGAAGAGGAGCGAGGTCGGACGAAGAAATAAAGGGGCTTCCACTCTTTTATCGAGTCGGACAACCCCTCGAAAAGTTGTCGCCCCGGACGGGCGGCGACTTGGATGAAGCCGGGCGAGTGAGAGCCGACCTTGTTCACGGTAAAGAGGTACCGGAATAGGTCCAAATCTGGCTCGCACTGCCACCAATGGCAGAGATTGATGAAGCTGGTCAGGAGTCGGTGAGAGTTAGGCACTAACTGGCCCGGGACCAAGTTATAATGCCGAAAGAGAAGCGAAAGAAATGGGTGTGGGGGCACTCGGAAGCCGAATGCAACCGAGTGCAAATGGATACCCACAAAACCCTCCGGCGGGTCGTGGATAGGCCGGCTCTCCGCCGCGACGACCATGGCCGAAGGGCCAAGCAGAAAGCGGGCCATATCCAGGTCCGCCGCTGTGGCGGACGACGGAAGACCGGATGGCCGGACAACCGAGTCAAACTTGCCTCGCGGCCGTACAACGCCGCCCGGCAAAGCCGCCACCGTAGTTAACGGGGCTGGGCTCATCGGAGTGGCCGCCCCAGAAGAAGAAGGGGCTAAGAGGGAAGAAGAAGACACCGCCTGGAAGCCCGCCGGCATTTCCAGGCGGCGGACGACGGAAGAAGAAGAAGAGGATGATGGAGAAGTCCCCGCCGGATTGTCAAAAGACGGCCGACGGGAGGAAGAAGAAGAATGAGAAGAGGAAGGCATTACTTACAGGTTGGAGTTGAAGCTGAGAAGACGATGAAAGAGCAGAAGCTTGGTGAGGGAATTGAAGAAGAAGAACGGAAGGAAAAGGCCTTTTAAAGGGAGAAGGAAGTCCAAGAGGCTGTCACGCGGCACCTCCGTAGTGGAGGAATCGGAGGCGACAAGACGTCGAAGGGACGCCGCATTTAATGCCTCGATAGGCGGAACGACGGTTCAGGCCTAGGGCTAGCCTGCAAGCGGCGCGTCTACCCTAGGCCAAGGCTGAGTGACGATGACCCGGCCTGCCAGACCAAAGGCCCATCAAGGCAAAGACTATGGGGGCCCATCCATATCTCGCTGGAAGTTTCTAGAAGTGACTCGGCCGGGTCCGGCCAAATAGAGAGGCCCGGACGAGCTTCAGGTTGCAAGGTCGGCCGACAAATTTGCCGAGTCCTACACCCACGGGACTTAGTCGGACAGAGTTTACAAGTCGGTCATAACGACCAAGAACCGGCCAAAGGAACACGCAAAAAACCAGGGACCGAAAAGTAAAAACAAGATTTTATTCCATAAAGACAGGGGTGCAAGGCCGAGGACTCGGCTATAGGCATTACACAGAAAAGACAGGCCTAGGGCTTAACTTCCTCCTCCTCCGCGTGACGCACCGGCTCCGGACCCTCCAAATAGTAGTGGGGGCGGAAAGGCAATGGACTCGGCTCAGGCTCGGGCTCGGGCAGTTCATCCAGATACACAGCAGGCTTCCCATCTACGACCATCTGCAGGGGCCTCTCCAGAGCGCTCGGTGACATGGCCACGCCAAAAAGCGGAGGAGCCTCCCAGTCTAGGTCCCCCTCTGGCTCTGGATCTTCTACCATGGGCACCATCTCGTCCTCCTCCGGTTCCACAACCGTCGGATCAAGCATGTCAGGAGGCACCACGATGGGATCAGAAGCGGAGTCGCCCACCAGGTACCCTCCGCTAGCCGCCCTCTTCCGCCGGAGCTCCTCCTGCCGAGCATGCTCCTTATTAGGGATGGACCAACGACGATCACCGTCCCTGAAACTCATAGCTTGAGGTTTTGAGGTGTAAAATGGTGAGAAAGCACAGAGCTACCAAAAGCCCTTATATAGAGCCTCGAGAGAGCAACGACCAAGGCGCAAATCACGGAGGGAATCGTAACTGACATAACTGAGCCGGATTGGATGGGCAGCGTGAATCTCTGTCAGAGATTAATCCCATCCAATTAGCTCGGGAAGGGTGAGATTCGCACGCTAAACTGAAAAAAGCCTGGCTCGCCCTGGGAAGCGAGATTTACAGGTGTCAAGCGGAAGGAGGACTCGACATCGCAACCGACTCCTCGACAATTGAGACGGACGAGTGCACTAAATATACTGAAAAAGATGAAAACTGAAGGCCGAAAATATCTTATTATAAAATAAAGAAGGTGCAGGTTACAAGGAGCTTATTACAGAGTAAGCGAGTGCTCCTAACAGAACTACCCCTCTAGAGAATCCGGCCGACCCCAGTTCACAAAGATCACTCACTCGGCGAGGAGGAGCCGCTTCCAAAGAACCCTCCTGATGGCCCAGGAGAAGGTGGGCAAAGCGAGTCCCAGAACGCCGGCATGAGTGGCGGCACAACCAGCTCCTCATCGTCCGGGTACCTCTCCTGATAACGAGCAAAGTCTTCCTCATTCATTAGCCCGGTAACCGGACCGTCCAAGTCATCCAGAGGAATAGAAAAGGTCATACGAAAGGTCAGCTGCTCTGGGACAGGCACGTCAACAACGGTCCCGCCTGGAGAAGTTACTCGAGCAGACCCCGGAGGAGGAGAAGGGAGAGAAGTCGGAGCGACTTCACGACGAGCAGGAGTCGGCGGATGAAAAGCCATAGAGGCAGCGCCAGCAGGTGATCTCTGTGGAGTCGGACAGGGAGCCTTCCTTTTAGGCTCCCTCTCAGGCCGAGTCCGTTTCAAAGGCAAAGGGCGCCGGGGCGACCCAAAATCAATCTGCTTCCCTTTCAGTGGTGAGCGACCCATAAGGAATCAGTAAGTTAAGAGAAGAACGGCCAAGGTCATTTATAGGTGCCAGGCCAGGCCGAGGAGATCAGAACGGTCCCGCGAGATCCGGGAGATAGCGAATAATCTGGGCCAATCCTGAGTCATTCAAGGCACGGATTCGGTGAGCAGGAGATGGTTACTACTTTTCCAAACCCAGGTTGGTGGACCGGGTATGGAAAAGTGAGGGACTAGTTGATGGGGTGAGAACCCCGGCCCAAGAAAAGAGGCCCAGAAAGAATGCATGGGCCGAGTCCTGGGAGGCCCAGTTCAGAGACCGGAAGGACGGCCCAATGCCAAACGGGGACGAAGAGTCGGCCCAGGCCCGGCCCAGGAGAGGACTCGGTCCAGAGAGCCGTTGAGGGAGCCTGCAAAGCAGTTAAGACAAGGAGCCGTTGGGGCATTAAAGGCCGGACTCGGTCCGCCAGTTACTAGCCAAAGAGAGCCGTTGGCAGGGTCCGTAACGTCGCCCAACGGCTCGGCACATTGAATGTAATCTTTAAGTCGGTCATCATGAGCCTTTAAGTCAGTAGAGGAGGAGCCACTATAAAGAGGGCTCCTCCACCCTTGTACGAGGCAGATAAAAGGACCCGGAGAGGGAAGAGACAAGTACTATTAAGCATCATATTTTACTAAGACTCAAACCCTTTTTTGTGAAAGGTGTATCCTCCAACTTAAGGTTGTGTTGGACCTCCTTGGGCCCGAAAACCCAAAAACCATCAATTATATTATCTACTCATAAATATTATACTTTAATTCACAACAGTATTATACAAACTTTATACGGTATATAACAACGTCAAACGGTAATCTGAATGTCGCCAAACATAAATTTGAATTTCCAAAAGATAAATATCGCCTATCTAAAAGGCACTTTCCCTGATTGATATCCAACTTTAGAGATTTCCCCTATTTCGAATCCCATGCTAATTTCTTTTCCCCGATCAGTTAATGATACAAACTTAAGAACTTTCCTTTCCAATTCAAGAAAATTAACAAAATTAATTTCAGCGATCCATGGTTTTCGTCACCGTCATATGCATTGACTGGGCGTAACACGACAGTGAACCGCCTCAACAACTCAACACATTACGAACTATACTAGAATGAGAGAGAAAGATATGCTCTGCTCTTATCTTTTATATATATATATATATATATATATATATATATATATATATATATATATATATATATATATATATATATTCTAAAACAGAGCGAAGCCGGCCCATTCGGCGTCGTTTACGGGCCGGGGCGACGACGATTCATTCGACGAAAATGATGAAGATACGGGCGACTGGGAGAACGGGGAAACAGATTTCCTGCTCGAAGCGGACCATCTGGGCAGCGTCTCCAGGTCGGAGCAGTAATCCGGTTCGGGCTCCGGCAGGGCCTTCGCGGTTGCGCGCTTTAGCAATGGGGACGGGAAGCACCGGGCGACGGGCTGGGTAATGCCAGATAGGTCAAAACGGTAGCGCTCCGATCGAGTGCGCGGCGCGGACCTGAAAGACCGGGAGCGGGGCTCCACCGCCGGTGTAGGCTGGTAGTAAAGCCGGCCGGCCGGCGGAGGCCTGAGCATCCTCGGGGTGTGTAAATGTAAATCTGGACGGCTGTGATTGCTCGGCGCCTGCTCCTCCTCTTCACGGTATGGTAGTTGGAGAAGATCCGACCCGTTGCTCTTGGGCACACCGGGTCGGACTTCCCACTTAAATGGAACGGTTCCTGGTTTCTTGAACGAGCCATCCACCACCATTTTCACTCTCTCTCTCTCTCTCTCTATATATGGATTCAGTATAAGAGAGAGTGAGTGTGTGTATAGATGTAATGTGTGTATATATATATATATATATATAGGTGGGAATGAGAAGACAAAATGAAGAGAGTAACGGCTTGATGAAAGGCGAGATGAGTGGGGGGGCTGATATGGTAGGAAAACAATTATTATTGACAAAATGTTTGTCTCTTTGACGGTTTTGTGTATGATTTTATTTTTGAATTACTAATTACTAATTTGACTATACTTTTTACTTTTAAATTTGACATTATTACTAAATCCAGCGTTTTACACTTATTATTATAGTTGCTTTTAAGGAATGAAAAGATTTACTAATTTTGATTAGGAAACCTGCCTAAATTAAAATAAGTTGCTTTTAAGGAATGAAAAGATTTACTAATTTTGATTAGGAAACCTGCCTAAATTAAACCAGATTTTGATTTGTTTCTTAAAGAGTAAATACCCAAAATGGTCCCTCGACTATAGCTAAATTCACAAATTGGTCCTCAACTTTCAATTTCATCCAATTAAGTCCTTAACTTTGTAATTTTAACACAATTTGGTCCTCTGTCTATTTGACCGTTTGTTGACTGTGATTTTTGAGGATATATATGTAATTTCATGGTCCATCGTCGATTTTTTAAGGTTCCGGTTGCATTTCCAGACCGCACTGTTACATTTGAATCCACTGTCGAAAGCAATCTACCAAACCCGGTCACCTTCTTCATCCTCTCTTTGGATTCAATGTAGTTGAATTCGTACCAGAGCGAAGAAAACGACGTGTTTCCGAATCGGTGCAACGTCATCCTGGAGGCCTCCACGTGCTCCGACGAGAGCTGAAGGTTTTTCTGGAGATCGTCGATCACGGTCAACAAACGGTCAATTAGATGGAGGACCAAATCGTGTCAAAATTGCAAAGTTAAGGACTTAATTGGGTGAAATTAAAAGTTGAGGATCAATTTGTGAATTTAGTTATAGTCGAGGGACCATTTTGGGTATTTACTCTTTCTTAAATTGCAAAATCTTCTTTCTAAATTTTGAAAAGAGGAAATTCGCTGAGATTTGGTAAAGATACATTGCATAGGAAAATTATTGTGTGGACCATGAATATCAGGGACATTTTTAATATATTAAAAGTATATTATTTTTGTACTGAAGATACATTATATAAAATAATGTACCTTTAGTATATTAAAAATATACTTTTAAAAAATATATCTTACGTACATAAATAATGTACCATCAATATATTAAAACGTACCTTTTATTTATGTTCCACACAATTATATAGACCATGGTCCATGTAATAATAATTGCATTGCATATTCATTTGGGTATCCTTGGTCTTGCTGTCAGCTTGGCCCGGCTCAACAAGGCGCTTGACTACCTCTCGAACAGATTGCCTAACAGGTGACCCCGACTAGATACCCTCGCTACTTCGCTAAGTATTCATCAATAATAATAATAATAATAATAATAATAATAATAATAATAATTATTATTATTATTATTATTATTATTATTATATTTAAGAAATTATGTGAACAAAAATTGAAAGAAAATAGATAGGTAAATGACAAAGTATTAAGGGGAAGCATGCTCAAACAGTATTTCATGTTTTAAAGCCGTGATTGAGTTTTATTGATTGCAAGTCTAGAATGTCCACATACATCTTGTCTAGGGGATCAAAAGAAATTGAGTATTCTATCCATTTCCAAAGAATAAAATTCAATTTAATTTATCTAATCTTTAACTTTTTACCCTTACTCACAACTTGTTACTCAAAAACTAATTGAGCTATTTGTAAAAGTTTAATTTTTTACATTACAGTATTTTAGCCAATATATAAATTAGTTGAATTTATCATATTATCATGCCATCATAATCATAAAACATTGATGGTATAAATTGAATGAGGACAGAATTGGAGACCTAAAGTAATGCCATAATCTATACTATATATAAAAACAAAATCTTGAAATTTTAACTTCCCGCTCAATTCCTAAAAAATCTCTCTTCTCAATAAAATATATTGATTTCTACTTTCTCATTCGTACAATAATTCTGGGTAAAAAATTCTATTCTAAAATTATAAAATAGTGTAATACAATTCTCTTTGCACATCTAATCTATATCTATACTATATATAAAAACAAAATCCTGAAATTTTAACTTCCCGCCCAATTCCTAAAAAATCTCTCTTCCCAATAAAATATATTGATTTCTACTTTCCCATTCGTACAATAATTCTGGGTAAAAATTCTATTCTAAAATTATAAAATAGTGTAATACAATTCTCTTTGCACATCTAATATATACTATATATATAAACAAAATCCTGAAATTTTAACTTCCCGCCCAATTCCTAAAAAAAATTTCTTCCCAATAAAATATATTGATTTCTACTTTCCCATTCGTACAATAATTATGGGTAAAAATTCTATTCTAAAATTATAAAATAGTGTAATACAATTCTCTTTGCACATCTAATCTATACTATATATAAAAACAAAATCCTGAAATTTTAACTTCCCGCCCAATTCCTAAAAAATCTCTCTTCCCAATAAAAATATATTAATTTCTACTTTCCCATTCGTACAATAATTATAGGTAAAAGCTGTGAAGTGTCAAAAGTTCGGCAATGCATAACTTTTGACTCGGTTGTCCGTTTTGGACAAATGTTTTTTTGAAATTGTGTATTTTTTCGAGATATATCCACCGCAAACAGCCGTTGGCGGTTTGGCCCACTAATTTCTAAAAAAAATGCTTTATTAAATAGTTTCTAAGAAAAAACTATGAGAACCTTATGTTTTATTAATAAATTTTTAATTTTTTTAATTAAAAAATTGTCCCGTGCATTTTTTAATAATCTCTCTTTATAATTGGTCAAATTATTTAATTATGGTAAATTAGGGATAATTAATGATGGTAATAGAAATCCTATAAGCGACCTCTGGTGAAATTAACTCTTAAATAATTATACATCGATTTAAATATTCTTAGTATATTCCAACAATTCTATTCCGTGCATCGCATGGGTGAAAATACTAGTAGATATAAAACTGCAATATTTATTGAGTATTTGACTTGTAGTATTGCCAAATGAGTTATTTCCAATGAATCATTGATATGATGAGATGGTTGAGAGTTTGAACTTGTTAGGACAGTTAGCTCTGTTTTTTAGAACGTTAAAGATGTTCTTCAAAAATTGAGTAATGATGTATATATATTGGACTTAATACTCAAGTGGCATATGATCGCTACTACAAAAATTGATTTTTACGTCAGCACAAAGAGTCAACACCGTCTCTACTGAAACCCAATCTTATGACTTTCCATATGGGAGAGTTACTACATGTCATCTGAGCACAAGAGTTAAACACAATAATAACTAATAAAGAATATGCCCTAATAAATAGTCAAATACATAACGGATTAATCCTTTGAAGGTTACGATCTAGTTAATTGCGCACTATATGCTAGCTTTGGGTTGAAGAAATTAAGATTTTCATCTTATCAAAATGGTATAAATAAATTCCTTTTGGAGAAAGAAAAAATTGATTGGATAATTTTACCCTTGCCTAAAATGAACTTTGACCAGAAAATTTTTTGGAAGGACCAGAAGTGTTGAAGATTTAAAAGTTTGGATGATTGAAAGCAAAAATGATAGTCTGGAACTAAACGTAGAATTGCTACGAAAATATTAATTGTGGCTGCTAGTCTAAAATATTAATACAATTTCTTTCCCCCCCCCCCCCCCCCCCCCCCCAATATTATTGTCTTTCCATTATTATTTTTCTCCTTTTTTCTATATTATATTTATATATATTGACCAACTATCATGTAGTGTGATGTTATCACGGTTACCATTCTAAATAGGTGGTCATAGGTTCAAAATCTGGTGATGAGAGCTTAGATTTTTTGGGTTGAAATTGTTTGAGAAAATATAAAATTGATACTAAGCTACCTTGTAAAGAATAATAAGTCGCATATGAAGATACTCATATATGCATTCGTTTTTCAATCCATGTACAATTATCATTTTTATTATATGTATATGTTTGTAAATAACCATATTATATCATTATAATTGAAATTTTTAATTTAGATAATGGTATAAAAATGGTTTTTCAATTATTTTAAATTTTAAATTAAAATTTTTTTTGAACGCACAAGTCCAAAATTATTTATAGTACGATTATAAAATTGCAACTCATAATTTTAAAAACAAATGGGCTTGTTGAGCATGGTGTGTGATCATACTCCTTTGACTATAGATTTATTTACAATTTTGGAATGAATGCAATGGTATTAAAAGTGACTGAGTCGGAAACAAGGGAGAGAGTCAATTTTGACAATAGGATAAGTGTCTTATAACTAGGATAAAACCTTTCTCAAGAACATTCCAGATTCCTATTACATTCAACTATTCAAGGGCACTCTCATATCTCAAGAACATATAAAAGGCGTTTCCTCAAACACTTAATGTCCTTAACACCACAAACACTCCTCTTTTCTCAAAGGTGAAGTGCGGTTGAGTGGCCCATTGAAGTTAGAATAGGTTGTCAACCCCAATAAATCCTCAATCATACCAAACAACAATCCAAAGTCAAGACTCAATCCCCTACTTTACTAGTCAAAGGCATTCTACCAAACACCTATCATGCACACCTATCCTCCTCCAAGACGAACTACTCACACATGATAGAGAATCAAATAAGGACAATAACAATCATCAAAGCACAATAAATTGCACAATCAAGAAATAAATTGAAGTTCACAATCAATTGTAAGTAAAGAACTAAAGATTCAATTAGAAAGATTTAGCTAATTGTAGAAGATGAACTTGTAGAGATCCCATCCTTGCTTGAAAGTAGAGAACAATCGAATCTACCAACCCACTTTAACTGTACTACTCATTAACAAAAAGATTGAAACCTTTTTTAATATATTTTTCCTTTTCTTTTTATGGGGCAAAAATCTCAAGGAAATGGTTAATGGTGTCAGAAACTACCAAACATGCAAGAAAACATTCTGAATTAAATAAATTGTTAATGTCAATCATGACTAGAATAAAGCTCGAACCTAAAACATTCCTTAAGAAAGATAATAGTGATGCCATTCAAAGTAAATTAGCTGGATTTTAATCAATGAACTAAACATCTAGTCTCATGTCAGGGCAAAAACATCTTACATCTACTTGCATAAAAACACTCTAATTAAAGCATTCAAGAACACGTCACACAATACTTTCACAAACAAAACAGACCAAGTGTTAATTTACAACATCTAATTGACATGAACCACTATCATAACCCTAGCCATCCTACTCTAGTAGGTCATTTCCTGCGGCATGTTGCAAAGTGTTTGCATAGTGATGCTTGCAACATCCAAAAGCTGCAAATATTCATCTGCTCCATCTACAAGAAACTGCAGTAAAGGTGGGGTATTGTTTTCAGCTCATGTGTTCTAGAAGATAATACCATTTATACATGTAGTTCCACATAAATCCACAAGTTTGGCACATGGGGTTAGAATTGAATTAACAATTTCAAAAGCACGGCATGCAACATTGCAACTATGTTAAATGCTGCTCAGCCAAAATTTGGACATACGTAGTAAAGTCAGGTTTTCACTTTGTTATCATAATCATCCTCATTCTATTTTAAACATGAACAAGCCAAAGATCAAATTAAAATGCAGCAGAACAAAGGCTTCATTGCTTATTTGATAACGATGATAATAATGAGTCATTACCTTATCTGTTTCTCCCAATTTCTTGCATATTCTTGCTTTCTGTTCATCAGATATGTCATCTGCTTCAACAACTAAATCATATAGCTGCAAGAAACATTGTGTTAGGATAACAGTATTGAGCAGAAAGCATAAGTTGATTTAGTATGAAATGAGGCAGAGATAATGGGACCTGGGAAAGCATCTGAGAAGCTGGATATCCTTCTGCTATTACATTATTCACTTCTTTGTCTGCTAAGTCAAAGTTGCCACTTTTACAAGCTGAAAATATTGCATGAACAACTTCCTCTGGGATTACCTGATAATTACAATAAGTATGTTCAACTAAAAGAGTAGTCAAATAAACAGCAAAGGGAGGGGCAGAGGGAGATAGAATTATTTTCATCTTTAGAGTTAAATCCATGCCAATCACAATGGTAAGTTAATATGTAAGTCACAGTAAATGAAGTTGAAAGACCAGTATAATCAACTTACCCCAGAAACAGTTATCAAATCCCTGGATGAAATAGATGATCCAAACAAGCGAGCAGCACTCTGTAGCAGATTCAGAAAACAAACTTATTGAGGTCAATAATATTCTTCGTTCAGGAGTCAAAATCACAACTTACATACAGTCAACCTTCATTTACGATACAGCATGCATAATCAACTGTTCATAAGCATGGAATGCATGACTGGATCGAATATGGTAAATATCCTTCTTAGCTCCCTCCTTTGTTTTAGTCTTTTTTATTTTTATCAGGGACTTTGAGAACATATGATAGGGGATGGAGGAGGTAGGATTTGAACAGAAGTCTTAACTCATAACTCTTATATACACAGCACTTCTATTTGAATCATGTCAGCACACCATTCCACTACATATATCAATTATGTACACTTGAGTTCCAGATGAAAATTCTATATTAACAGTAATCATACTTAATTGATTTCCTAAATAAATTTCAGGAAAAAGCTGGATGAATGAGCTTTCACCTTATGTGTACAATGGATATTAGATTATAGGTTGGATAATTCCACATATGCTTGACAGTGCATGTTACCATTTGTGATTTGACAGAAAATTAATCGTTGTTTTGGCTATTTCAGTTGGCCACAAGTAAAATGAAAAATAAAAGGTGCCGTACTTGTAAGTATGTTATACCCCTACGTAGATCACCTTGAGAGATAGTACTGAGGGTTGAAAGAGCCTACAATCGAGAAAAAAAGGATACAAGGTTACTAAAAATAAAAAATGTTATCTAACGATTAGAAATGTGGGTGAAAACACACTTAAACCAGAAGTACACAACATGCAGAGAAAGCATCAATTAATCTATACAAACCTCTGAGTCCAAGTTAAGACCTTCCTCATTGCAAATGTGTAGTATGCGGCTGCTCATAATTTCTTCTGTAAGTGGCTTGAATCTAAATTTGGCACATCTAGAAGTAAGTGGCTCTATGATCCTACAAAGTAGAAGTCATTTAAATACAGAAAACAAAAATAATAATAATAATAATAATAACAACAACAACAACAATAATAATAATTGAAAACCCATAACTTGCTTAACAGAACTCAGTTAACTGTACAAAACACACAATATAATAAACAAAAGTAGTCTACTTTTCAAGGGACTAATTACCATAAAAGTTACAAACTTTGCCTCAATTGACAATAATGCATTACCTGTGAGTAATTACCTACTCAGGCACAAACTTAAAATAACAGAGGAAACAATCACAACACAGTTAAAACTTGTGTAGTTTTCTTATAGCTACGAAAGGTGAAATCCGGACGCATAACCCTCTTCTATTGATTTTAGTTTAACACATTTTTAATAAACCATTCCGTAATAGATGTGAAGGATGGTAAAACCAATTTTATTAGCAATTCTATAACGTCTGCAGCTCACTTCCAGTCCATTTTCGGTAGATTTTATCCAAAGATGCATGCAAGTGTAAACTTGTCTCTGTAACATTTAAACTAAATAAAAGAGGATTCAGGATTTATATTTTTTTTGTCATGCAGCCATATTCATCTTATAGCATACCCACCCTAACATGCATGAACCAGTGTTTTTTTATCACTATTAATTTTGGGGTTACCTTCTTACAGTGGGAAAATTTCAAGCTCTTAAAGCTACTGGGCGTTTCTTGCCTATTATCTACTCAAGAATTCCTTTTGAGTGTTGTTTATGATGATTTTGTAACGCATAATGAATCTCTTAAAATCCAAACAGTCATGTGCCCATCCCATAGTTCAATACAAGATTGCAACTTAAGCCAAAAGCAATATTAATTTCCTCAGCAAGAGGGTAGCCATTTATCAATGTCAAAGTGCAAATTCCTCTATTTCAAGTTTGGGGAAAATCAAATAGTAGCACATCCAAAAAGTTTAAGACAACTAACCTGCTGATGTAATTACAAATAAAGAAGAATCTTGTAACTCTGGAGTACGTTTCCATAGTGCGTCGCAAAGCATTCTACAAAAGGAAGTTGAATTACCTCAGCAAAACTGATTAATCAGTTAATGATTAAACAGTAGACTTGCCTGAGCATCTTCAGTCATTGAATCTGCTTCATCAAGGATTATGATCTTGAAAGGTGGGCAAGGATAGCCACTAGAAAAATGCAGAAAAGATATTCAGAAAATTTTATAGAATATAAGAATAAATAAGATGTTGTGATTACCTCAAAGAAAGGAAAGGAGATAAATTAGTGTGACCCAAAACTGAAATAGACAAGATTGGTACCTTTGGTGACCAGAACCAACAGCAACAGCAGCAAAATTCTTTATTTTTGTGCGAACAACATTTATACCACGGTCATCACTAGCATTAAGTTCCAACACCCTCGACTTATACATTTCAGGCCTGTCAAAGTAAACAGTGTCACTCATGTCCATGCCAGCAACACATGCCCAACATACACATGGAAGCCATCGAATAAAAAGAACCACTTCTCAAATGGATCAAAAGAAAAACATGATTAGTATCTCTAAAGAAAGAACAATAAAGATACAAAAACAAACAAGCCAAATATTTGCATGTCGCCTTATGTTGTGACTTAAATTGGAGATAACATGTCAGACAAGTCTACTTAAAAAGGTTTCTGGACCGCAGTAGATTCAGTACAAAATGACCAAAAAAAACAAAAAACAAAAATCACATAGATTCCAATCTTCTTGTTATAAAAACAATGTAGTGTGCCAAAACAAATTTTCAGACAAAGTTCAAAGAATCAAAAAACTGAAACTTAACTTGCTAGCTGTTCTCATATTTAAACACTTATGTTCAGGGGAGAAAAGAAAAAGGTAATACTGTTTTCATAAAGCCATGAAGGTTTTCCCTTTTTGTGAATAAAATCTTAACTTATACAATTATTAATAAATAAATTTACACATGCATAATACAAATACATGCACACAAACAGATATATATATATACACATAACAGAGAGATATAGACAGTACCCGAAAAGCTGATGAGCAATGGCAAGAGCAGTTGTTGTTTTGCCAGTGCCAGGAGGGCCATAAAACAGCATGTGCGGGCACTACACAAATATAACAGTGTGCAGAAATACATAAATAAATAAAAATCTAAACAATTATCATAAACCCTAGTATCAAAAATTAAGAGCTTGAATCAACAACTGCAAAAAAAAAAAAAAAAAAAAAAAAAAAAAAAAAAAAAAAAAAAAGGAATAATTGCATACATTAGCAGTCTCAAGTGTGTTTGTGAGGACTCGAACAACCTCATCTTGGTGAGCTACATCTTTCACTTGCTTCGGTCGGCTGTGTAGCAAATAAAAACAGACAAAAACGAACATAAATTGTAAAATCAAAGAAATATCTGCAATGTAAAAATTGGACTTGTTAGATTGTTTAGTTATGAAATATAGAGAGGTAGAAGGTACTATTTCTCCACCCATTGCTGAGAACTTTGCAGAACAGGCGCCATTCTTCTCTATCACTCAAATGAGATTCTCCGCCTCACTACAGGTATACCCTTTTCGCTCTCGAGCGGCCGGGAGCTGCTAGGTTAGATATTTATACACCATATTAATTTATTAATTACTTGGCCCAAAAAATAATAATAATAATAATAATAAATCAAACATTGGAATCTTACAACTTAATACAAACTGCCAAGCCTCTGTATACCAGAGTAGCAGTGGAAATAGGCTAGGCCCTACGACTAGCCTATTTCCATCCCTACACCCGACTAGGGGGTCATTTTGGTATTAAGTTTGATTTTTTTCAGTTTTGATTTTTCAGTTTAAAAAAAAATAATAATACCATTCGGTTTAACATTATAGTTTGATTCAGTTTGAAAAAGTTCGGTTTCGGTTTAAGAACCCCAATTCTCAACATTTCCTAATTTTTTAAACACACTACCCAACGAAACATATTCACATGGTCCAAATCCAAATTCTAAACATTATATAACAAAATAGCAATCCAAAGTCCAAACACACTACTAACTACGAAACATCACATAGTTCAAGTCCAAAGTTCAAAGGCTACAAACATGAAACACATCACATAGTCTAAAGCCAAAGTCTAAAATATAAATATTACATAACAATATAACAATCCAATAATCTTCGGTTGGCCTCACATGTAGACATTGTAGTGTTTTATTGAAGAATTATCCATCTATATAGTTAATATTTAGGGAACAAGAATTATTAAATCAATAATTTTCAAGTATTCAACAATTAAGAATTCAAATAACACAGTTAAAAAAATACGAACATACGGCAATGTTCAGCCTTGAAGGATGGAATTTCCAGACTTTAACGCCGAAAATTCCAGCCTTCCAGGCCAGATTTTCTAGCCTTGAAAGCTGGAAAAAATTCTGGACATAATGAGATATGTTATGAAATCAAGAAGCTGTTAGTAGATTAGTATGAGTACCTTCGTCGATGAGCTGCGGACGGCGGAGAGCCGGAGAGGCGCGGAGCAGTCGGCACTCGCCAGAGACGGAGAGTGAAGACGTGAAGTTAGGGATTTAGGAATTTCAATCCTAATTTCTTTGTTTTCAAAAAAAATAATAATAATTTACCCTAATAATAATAATAATAATAGGGAAAATGACACTTTCCCCCTGAGTTATATACTTAGGGAGCGTTTGGTTCAGGTTATATAACATAACCAAGGGAATGTGACATTCAAAAGCTCACATTCCGGTGTTTGGTTCATATTATCTTTGGCAATCTAACATTCCCAATAAATGTCACATTCCCTCCACATAGGATTTTGAAGGGAATGTGATTCCCTTCAAAATCTTAGGTAATGTAAGATAACCTTGGTTATGTTAGTTTATTTTATATATATATATATATATATATATATATATATATATATATATATATATATATATATATTTGTAATTATATATATATTTTGATTATGTTATGTTAGCATATAAAATAATTTTGTTTCTCAAGTTCAAGATTTTAGTTAATATTTTAAAATCATGTAATTATATATGATACCGTTATTTTATTTATTTATTTTAATTTTTAAATTTATTAAAATATATGAAAATATGTTAAGGATATTATAGTGTGCATAAAAGATAATCCTAAACCAAACATGATTATATTACATACCCCAATTTTAACCAAACACATGAATCTAACATTCCCAGTAATCTAACATTCTCAGCAATCTAACATTCCCTAAGGTAATCTGACATTCCGTGAACCAAACGACCCCTTATTGTACTTTTTGCTCCTAAATTATTTAAGTGGCTCTTTTTACCCCTGAAATGTTAAATGGACATATTTATCCTTAAAATAAATATTTCATTTATTTTTCTTCTCCAAAAAAATTATTACTATAATTTGGTTCAAACCAAACAGATACTATAGCACCAAATCAAAATATTCCAATTACAATTTATAATCAAAATGCGATATTTAGAGTTTATTAAAATCGCGAACTGGAATAGTCGGTTCATGTTCCAAACTGAAAAATAAAATACATTTATTGTTGAATTTAGACTATTTTAAAATAAAGACGGTTCAAAATCGCAAACCAGATCCGGAACCGCCGGTTCACGGTTCATGATCCAGTTTTTTTATTCTTAAATTTAATAAATTGAAATCTAAATATTGGGTTCTAGATCTGAATTATAACCGAAAACGTTTAATTCGATTGCTATAGTGTCTGGTTCAGTTCGAACCGAACCGTGATAATCGCTACATATACACAATAATTTTTTGGAGAAGTAAAATAAATAAAATATTTACTTTAAGGGTAGAAATGTCAATTTAATATATTAGGGGGAAAAACCACCACTTTTAAATTAATTGAGGGGACTAATGTGCTTACATAAATAATTGAGGGGGAAAAAGTGCTATAAATATATAACTTAGGGGGAAAAAGTGTCATTTTTCCATAATAATAATAATAATAATAATAATAATAATAATAATAATAATAACTGTTATTATTATTATATTATATTTTAAAAAATGAAAGGTATTCGGTTCAGTTTGATTTTTAATGAATTGAACTGTTTGATATTCCAAAACTCCTTACCGAACAGTACTTTGATACCGAACCGAAACAGTTCACCAGCTTACTTTTGAGACTTTAAAATTAATAATTAAAATTTTAAAATAAAAAATAAATCTCTTATAATATAAATATAAATATATAAAAATAAATAAATAAATAAATATATATATATATATATATATATATATATATAGAGAGAGAGAGAGAGAGAGAGAATCGCACTCACATGCGAATGCTTCGCCAAACCCGAAATATGAATGATTCTGTCCGTCCACATGTCCAGATCTAATGGATGAGAAACATTGATTTAAAAAAAACGCGGTGGCATTTTCATAAATAATTGAACATCGAAGTGCAAGTAAAATGTATTACAAGTGCATGTAAAATGTATTATAGGTGCAAGTAAAAGTTTACACTGAGCATCAATACTAAGTGCATCAATAGTTATAAGTAGTTGCACCTATAGTTCTAAGTAGTTGCACATATAGTTATAAGTAGTTACACATAGGTGCATGAATGTTTGCGGGTGGTTTTCAGGGGTATTACTACCCGCTAAACTCAGATCAATGAATGTTAACAAGGCAAAATTACATGCACTTATAGGTAGGGGTGTTAGCGAACAGAGCTTTCGACAAACTACTCGCGTTCATGTTCGGTAAGCGTTCGTTTATGTTCGTTTGTTAAGGTAAACGAACCATTACCAAACAAAATTATAGCTCGGTTAATAAATGAATAGAGCTTGAACAGTTGTATGTTCGTTTGCTAAGAGATCGTGAACAAGATTGTTTGTGTTCATTTAATAATGTTCGTGAACAAACCGTTTGTGTTCGTTTAATAATGTTCGTGAACAAGCTCGTTTGTGTTCGTTTAATAATGTTCGTGAACAAGCTCGTTTAGTGTTCGTTTAATAATGTTCGCGGACATGAACGTATATTATTTATTGTTCACGAACGAATTGTGATCATAAACATGTAAAGGTGTTTGGTTATTAAAGGTTCACGAACGTGCTCATGAACGTAAACCAATATGTTCGTTAACGTGTTTGTTAACGAACATGTTTGTTAAGGTTAACGACCATGTTCGTGAACATGTTTGCGAACGTGTTCATTAACGTAAATGAACATGTTCGCGAACGTTAACAAACACTAATGAACGCTTAACAAACGAACACGGGCATGATTTTCAAAAACCTTAACAAACGAACACGAACACGAACACCCCAAAATTCTTAACAAGCGAACACGAACAACCTTCGTTCGTTTATGTTCGGTTCGTTAAAAGTCCTACTTATAGGTGAAAGTAGGTGCACCTATAGTTATAAGTAGTTGCACCTATAGTTATACATAGTTGCACCGATAGTTATAAATAGGTGCACCCAGGTGCATGATGTTTGTAGGAAGTAAATGTTAACAACGCAAAATTACATGCACTTATTGGTGAAAGTAGGTGCACTTGTAAGTGATTTTACTTGCACTTCGATGTTCAATTATTTACGAAAATGCCACCGCATTTTTTTAATCTATTAGATCTGGACACGTGTCGCGCGCGGATTCGTTCGCATATTTCCTCCTGGGCACTTATTCGCACCTGAGTGCATCCATATATATATATATATATATATATATATATATATATATATATATATATATATATATAAATCAATGTTAGTAAGGTTATAATGTGAATAAAAATTACGTTGGTGTAATAATGTGTATTCATAACTTGTACATTTTGATTTATTCATTGTACAATGATAAAACATTTTCAAAGTTACAATTCCCTTTTTACTTTTTTATATAGCTATAAGCTTTAATAACAGAATATTATGTTGACTTATTATTATTATTATTATTATTATTATTATTATTATTATTATTATTATTTTGAAAATCAAAACCAACAATATATTAATTTCCATCCATTATAAGGTCATTACAAATAAATAAATGAGGGTGTAGAAACCACTCCATATGGTCAAACATATAAAGGGATTCCCAGGCAAGTCTATGGGCAATCCTATGCGCATACCGTTTAACAAAATAAATATCCACTAACTGGAGTTGACCTAACATATTTTTTATATCAAGAATAATGAGATCAAAATAATAAACATCAATTGGGCTCTTTAAAATTTTGCACAAAGAGTCAATTTCAACCCATACTTAGGAGTAACCATGATTTTTTATCTAGTTCAAGGCCTCTCGGATAGCCAATGTCTTTGTCTCCTTTGCTGAATAACCACCCTTGCAAGGTGCACTCACTTTTGCCATGAAATTTCCAACTTCATCCCTTAGTACCCATCCATAACCTACCATATGATGTGTTATGTCCACCACCGCATTAACATTTATCTTTATCCATCCTGAAGGTGGCCTCTCCCATCGTGTCACAACGCTTGGATTTGTTTTTTTTTTTTTTTCTTTTTTTTTTTGAATCAACTGATTGTTCTCTCCACTCGTTTAGGAAGTGAACTGCTCTTTCTGCAATGACTCTTGATCCCATTGATCGATCATTCCATACTAAGTTATTCATTGCTTTCCATAAACTCCAACAAAACATCACACATCTACTAGCTTGATCTTCCTCTATGGTGCTTGTAACCTCTTATACTCATTATGATAAGCATATGCTTCTCACTAGAGGAGTTGGGTGATTAAATTGACCCCATATGTTGCTATTGCCACTTCACACTCCACCATAACATTTTACTTGGATGACATTTTTTAACAACACCTCTCTCCCAGCTTTTGACAAAAAAAAAAGGGTGGTTCCAACTATGTATTATGGGTACAATTTTCTGTTTTATAAATCTCAAAACTTCCTTTTTGTTTCTCCCTATTAGTGAGGAACGACCAAGATAATTTCCAAATTGTTCGTGACCTCTAATTCTAATTGTTTGACTGATCATCTTTGTCATATTATCAGGTACATTAGGGCTAAATGAGAGCACAAATTTGTTTAAGTTTACTACCTTACCAATAGCTTCACCATAATCTTCAATGATAGCTTTGAATTTAGCTGCCTCTTATGGGTTTGCCTTAAATAAAAATGAATTGTCATATGCAAATAACCAGTGATTCTTGGTGCATTCCTAGCAACTGCAATCCCATGTAACTCCCTTTAGCTACTGCTCTATCAATTAGTTTGCTAAAAACCCCCAGCCACAATGATAAAGAAGTATGAGGATAGGGGTCACCTTGGCGTAATCCTCATTACCACTTTCAAGGATATTATACTTCATAGTTGTTACACGGGACATAACAATAATGTGTGGATTTGACATGAATGAGACAAAAATGTGTAAAGTACTAATGCTATTACCGTATTTTCATAACTCTATTTGAAAAGAAGGTAATTGGACCACCTTCTTCTATTCTTTTTGTTGCTTGGATAGAAAATGTCACAAACTTTTCACATTCTTTTTTGGAATAAGAGTCAAATTGGTCACTCAATTGCGCATCATATTACAATTGAGCCATTGAACTAAAAAAGAAT